TGGGTACTGCAATGCATTACAAATTGAAACATTAGCTATGAGATTGCATCACAATAATTCCATCTCGATAATTTAGGCTTAAGATTCGNATTTTGAATAAAAATGTACACTTTGAGATGAGTTATAACTTTTTAAAAGTTAGCTGTCAAAACGGCCAGAACTTTCCTTACAACCTAATAATTAATTCATAATCGCCATTCTTCAGTTGAAAACCAATGTCATTTAAAATTGGAGCATGACCAAATTTAGCCGTCTTGGAGAGAAATTGGTATCGAAATGATCTTGCAACCTGTGGGATGCGACGGTTGACTTTTCGTTCAATTTTGAATTGTGCCAGCTGGTGGACGTTTCCATGTTTGGTTTGTATTTTTTGTCTTTGTTATTTCGTTGAATTTCTTTTTTAGTGCTCTTTAACTTGCAGTCCGTCGCCAACGTTGCTAAGTCTGCTTTCCTCGATGCTTCTAATTTAACGAAATGTCCGGCTTAACTGTTCACTCCTTGCCATTTTGTCAGTAGCTTTCAAGTCGGTTCCGCGAGGGAGGTTCGCGTACCCATTTGCCGAAGTTCCGACTTGGTCCTCTGACTCCTGACGGAATGTGGCACCATGACCAACTGGTTACTGGCTATAGGGCATCTTCGTGGCACTCACTATCAGTGCAGCTTCTGGAGATTTATACTCCCAGGTATTTCTATCCTTTCTCTCTTCCTAATTTCACATTGTACGGTGGCGGCGCGTGGTTTACTTGCTTGTAGCAGTACGCACTCAGTGAGGTGCATAAATAAATAGATAAAACGGAGGACTTCAAAATTCAACTTCGAAAATTCGTATTTGACAAATCGTGGAGCTCGAGGAGCTGGGCTGAAATATAGAACATACTATATGAAAAAAGTGAAAATCAACCCATTCATAAGGAAAATACCAGAGTAAAGCGAAAACGCGTCTTTTTGTGGTTTTTTGAGCAGTTAGAGTGGGTACTGCAATGCATTACAAATTGAAACATTAGCTACAATAATTCCATCTCGATAATTTAGGCTTAAGATTCGTGCCCCCTCACCATCTGCGTGAACCATCTTCACATTTCTAAAATCTCTTCTCTCTTGTGGGTTCCCGAAACTTTCGCAAAAAGTACATCCCATTTAGTGTGAAGGAAGCTCCCCTCTAAACAAAGTTACTCTGAGTGTGTGAACACGCAAATTTACAAGACCACGAAGAAGGTTGCCGCCCCATGTATCAGCACTCACGCGATCTTTATAGGCACTAACTTTAGTCGTTATAGCCACCATGAATAATTGCTTTAGTTAAAACATTAAAGTGATAAAAAAGAAATTCGGTGAAAATGTAGTTTGAAGAGGGGGGGGGGGCGCCCATAGGCACAATATTAGTATTTCAAGAGCTAGTGTCAGGTGTTAAGCCCTGCTATATTAGCAATGTATCAGAGACGAAAAAAAGGATAGGCACCTACCATTAGTGTGCTTATATGAAGTTTAACCAGGGTATTATAGTTTCTCCACTAACAATAAATCCCAACAGGGTAGGAGGAACCGGTTGAGTGGGACGATCACTTTGTGTGAAAGGCTGAGAACTGCCAACTCCTTTATTCCTGAGGCGTAGTTGAAAACTTGCATGTCCTGGGTGTAGCACGAATAACACGTAACACTGCTTTAGTTCTTCATATGCTGACATTGTGATGGGGGTCCATCCCCCCCCCCCTTCAATATATTTTAACCGAATTTCGAAATAATTCGAAATAAAAGGTTCAGAGATATTATGTGGACATGATCACTGGAGTGGGCGGATCCCGCTGATTTTTCTTAATTTTAAATTTTGAGTCCACTGCAAGCCTGCACATCGGAGTTCCGAGTGAATTGAGATATCAAAGCTCTCTTTTTCGTTTTTGACACTCACCGTCAAGAATTAAAACACCCTTCACAAGTCGACAGCTCTACCAGTTAAGAGAGAATGACTGATGTAAGCGGTAGGATCTTTTATAGTACCCGACGCAGCTGAAAATTTCGTAAATTTATGTTTACTCTCATTTACGACAGAGTAGCACAGTATGAATACCAAATATGCGACAACTTGCGCAGACTTTAGCAAAGTGCTGATCAGATCACCACTTGACGAGTCTACCGCTATTTAGTGATCACCAGTCCAGGAACCACCAATTCATGGACATTGTATGACAGCTTCCTGAGCATCTCTGTAGTAGTTGCGCTCATCAGAGCAGTTAATTATCGCTTGCACTTGTCAGTGTAGTGGATATTAGAGATCCTGGCTGCGTGCGTTTACTGCGGCTACTAAGGACGCATGAGAAAACTTCATTTGCTGTTTTCAGCTAGCGGGATGTGGTCCCGAACACTTGGCATATTGCTTCTGCTAGCCTCCTGCATTCTATTCACTTCCACTCTCGCAATGGGACGTCAGCTGATCAGGTTCGCTTCCAACAAAGGAATGCCAATCAATGATCGAGAGTTTCTCAGGTACCTGTATTCTTGCACGTAACTCAAAGGCAGATCAAGTAGTGTGTGACCAAATGAAAGCGCCCATACCACGAAATCTAGTCCTCCTCTGGACTCTTCAGCTTCAGAACTGTGAAAGTTGCATAAGGAGAGACGCGGAGTGCACCGCGTGGCCGACGTAGGTATACAGTATACTTACGTTAGCAAGCCCTCCGCCTCTAGAAATACGTCTGGCAGAGGGAGAAGGTTAAAAGACTCAAGTAGCGATAACAACGAGTTTTCGTCAAGTTCTTCTTGGTCAGAAACCACCACGGCCTAACGCCTCAGCGTTTGCTCTTATGCAGTCTTGTACCGCTTTTTCTGATATCTCGCCGGCTGTTAACTTCTTTCGCGCTATAACTTGCAGGAGGAATTTGATAGGATTATAAGCAAATATGACGCTATCAGAACTATTTTTATCATACCATCTAACCAAATGATGTCTCAGTCATAGTTAAACTCTTGAGTCCATGACGAGTGCAAGTCGCAAAGTGTGAGCAATAGCCTAGTCAAGGCAGGCAGATTATTGATAGGACAATTTCAGAAGCTACAATATGCATAATCTCAACCTGGCAGCACTCTCACGCTATGGTACAGTCTTCGTTAAGCGATACTCGTGAAAATTTCCATGGATTTCAGAGGTGTAACGGAATAAAGTCGCCACCGAAGCAACCCATGCAGAATTTGCATTTTCGTTACTGATAAAACATATTTGTTGATATCTACAACATTTCATCTAAACTAAGCTCGAGTATTTCGGCGTTGTAATTTGAAGAAACGAGCAACATGCATGCTGACAGCGAGTAAAGACAATGTGGTAAAGCTTGGTTTTACGCGAAAACTACTACTGCAGGTACTTGAAAACTTGGAATACGAAACATTAGTCCTATAAAGTTTGAAATCTTGGAAAGGCTGAAGCAAATATACAAATATTCATATTAGTCAAAGGTCATGCCAAGTTTAAGAGAAGGTCGATCGCGGTTTATACTACTACAGGGTTTTCGCTAACCCCTATATGTGCTACATGGGTCCGTAATTAATGCAGGGGCGTAATGGGCACCGTAGGACGTGCAGTCACAGTTTTTTTTTGATTGAAGCCAGAAGCATGAAAGCTCAATTCTTTTTCTCTTTTCTGCTTTTCCGGGCCCGCTTAGCTAGTTCGCTTTCTCAAATTCACTTTAGTAATCCCTATGGATGACCTGATGAAAGCCTTTCCTTGAAGAAAGAGATACTCTCAGACACCAACTGGGTCAATACCACGCAGCCACACTACTGGACACGTTGTCAAAATAGTGTCTTATCTATCTGAATCTGTGTGCATGACAAGATAAGCAAGTGCATGATGAGCAATGATTTTGAAAACCACATCCCTACTCGTAACAATAGTTAGGAGTGATTCTGAGGGACACTCCATGTACCATTCAAACCAGTAGTATGGTAGCATCAGCCGGGATTGAACTCTAAAAATTTGTTTGTCGCTCAGGAAAGCAATTTCAAAACAAGTTTTGATCTCTCATCTACACGCCACAAAACCTATTCATGCCCATGTCGCGCCCTTCTCTAGAAACTCATCAACAAAGCTCGTTTGAAGCACGTAAATAAATGGACTATGATAAAGATGAGAAGTGAATATTTTGCACACATACAAAATGTACTGACGGCTTACTTGCAAAGCCATTGAAGAGGTAAGCAGGGTCCACGAAGCATAAGTACGAGTTTAACCCATCCGAAGCCGAAGTTTTGCCCACATCGTCACCTTTGTGAGACTAACTTGGGTTCAACCACCGGTCCATAACGGATTAGTCAATATCGAACCAACGCATTCACAAATCCATTGCAATATTTGAAATCAGTAGTAAAGAAAAGCAGTAAAAAAACAGCTGTGGTAATGTTGCTTGATGGGAATCANACTAGAGTGTTCATTGCCTTCAATTAATTGGCACAGTCTCAACGAACATCAGAGAATGAGTCCCCAAGCACCTGTAGTTTTACATGCTGACGCGGATTATTGTATACTCTTTAATTTATTAGGAATTCCAGTTAAACAATTGAAGATTCATAAATATGAGCATGTACAAAAAAAACTTTGGTTATTTCAATACATTGTTAATCACTCGTTTCTCTTCCTTCCAAATTACTCGACGCTTAGGAAAGGTAAATCAAAGAGGCAGTTTGCGATGTATTAATAATTTGATAACTAATCAAAAGTAGTACTGTAAGCATAGCAGAACGCTAACTTTTGAGATCAGTGAAAAACGTAAGTGACTATTTTGATCCTGATGCTTTCTGAACACACAGAAAAAAAAATCAAAAAAAAAAAATACAGAACATGATTTAGTAGAGCGATAGCGACTAGTAGAGACATCATTACCCATTCCCAAATCTTGTCCTAGAGTAGTTACAGTTAAAGAATTAGAACCATTTGCATGCTAGTTTCAGAACAAAGAAATCAAAAAATTCAATCTTTTTTCGATATCTGAGGGAGAGTAGGGAATCTTTTTCCTTAGTTCCCTCACTACATCTTCGACACCGCCTTCCACATCATTGTAGGTCTTCAAGATCATCATATCGGTTTCTCGTGTCCAAGAAGGTTCCTGCAAAAGGATCAAAACTCAAATACAATAATATAAAATATTTTTCACATAATTTACTGAAGTAGATTATTCCATTTTAGCAAAATGAACTCCACAATAGTGAACAACGTAAAACGAAGGACCAGAAATCATGAAAACAGGTTAAACACGAAGTAGCCGAATTTTCGATCTTACGTTTTCACTTTAACACAAGTCAAACCGGTGAAGATTATTGGTTTTTTTCATCCTTCCTCTCGAAATAGCCTTTTCTGAATGAAGGACAACAATGCGCCGTCTCTGTCAGACTGCTCACACCTTGGTTTCCAATTTCCATTTCAATATTTAGGACTGCGTCATCCCATCCCACTTATACAATCCGCGTGTCTGTTGGAGCGCGTGTTTAACCGACGAGGAATCCATGACCCCCTGTCCCTGGACCTTGAGCACTCAAACTTGAAAGAGTTACTGGGAGCAGGGCGGGAACATCGATAGTGGGTACAACGACTGGACTAGGCCTCTGAAGTGAGAAACTTTAGCGAAATAAATGTTTTAAAGGAAGTTCATAACTTCTAGGGCGAGTTTCCGTGGGCCTAGAGCGCTCAAAAATGTATGAGCACAGGAGGCAGGATGGGAATACTTGTCATGGGTGACACGATCAGAATCCGCCCACAGAGGGCAGAGCGTGAGCACAAAGCTCAATTTAAAATCAGAGCTTTCAAAGTTTGTAGGAGTACAGGTGATATTATGAGAATACTGATGCCTATAAAAGAATTCACTCTTATCCGCCTGTTCATCTGCCCATAAACTCATCATTTCCTAAAGAGGTGAGGTCATGTTCAGGGAGGGTGGCTCTTCGAGTAAGGTCAACAGAGCACATGTGAGCTCAGAAGAACCCCGCTGACAGGAGACGCAATCGGAATAGACGGCGCAAAGAGAAAATTTCATAATCTTGTTTCAGAAAAGCCCAGCCACTGGGATAAATGCGCACGGGTCAGGGAAGAGTTAACAAATCAGACGAAGGACCATTTGCAGCTACATTTTGAGGGGTGCAGATCGAAAACTTCTTCTTTGTTCGACACCTTCCTTGTTGTGACTTACGTGTTTATGTGCCAACTGATACTGTATAAGCGCAACATTCACCTCTTTTGAGTTTATCCCTAACCGTGATTACCTCAGTTTGCGGTGGTCTTCCAGATCTCATTCTATACCATAACCAAGTGAGAGATTTTGAAGAGCTGATAGACATGCAGACAAAGACACAGAACGAGAAAACGATAGACTGACCCACCAGACCGACCATCAAGTTACAGCTTTATAAATATTTAAGAAGATATCAGGCCGACCCTAACAGAGAATCTTAAGAAAAAACATAAATAGTACATACATGGTTTTCCGTTTGGGCAGCAACTGGAACTTCTTCTGAACTTTTCTCTTTAGAAATCATGATAGGAACATAAACGCCATTCTGGAGGGAATTCAGTTGACCACCAGTGACCTAAATGAAAATACTGCAATTCATATAAGCGTTGTTACTTGTTCTTGTTGTGACTGTTGTTTGAGCGAAGAGCTTGCCGATTATCCAAACTAGAAGCGTAAAGAGGTTGCGGTGGTATCGAGAACGGATGGACGAGCTACCCATTTCACACGATATCTCTTTTGACAATTCACACAAAAAACGAGTTAAACGAGCTATATGCCCAATTCATGTCATTAAAAGAACATGTGCGCATTGAGTATCAAGATTCTGAGACGATGAGGCGACGAAAGATGCCAAAATCTTTCAATCAGAGCTGAGTGTGATGAGCAGAAGAATTACACCAATCGTGATCCTGGGAGTTATGAATCGATTTTTCTCGTGAAAAAAATTAGGGACCGGGGGTGGGGGGGGGGGGGGGGGGGGGGGGGGGCAAAAAATATATAGATAGGAAATATCGGGCGCAAAAAGCACGCATAATATATTTTGTCAACTAAACGGTGCTTCTGAATGTGAAATATCATCTCCAGCTCTCGCTCAACTTATTTCGGGCAAATCATGGACAAAAACTATCTGAAAACCTGTTTGTTTGGGCTTCTAGAGCTTGAGAGTGCTGAGAGAAGGACTGTAAGTAAGAAACCTGCAGTGGTCCACCTTTCCTCGGAGGTGGCGTACCAAGAACAGCACTCAGGTCATCAATGCATTCTGCACCTTTGTCTTCAAGCAACTCCGAATCGGAGCGTTTGCATAGGTCGATGAATTCGAAGTCGGCCGGAGCTACTCTACAACATGCCATTCATTCAACCACGTTTGTATTTGAGAATGTATAAATTCAACAAACTTTTCATCGTATGGCAATGGAAGCCATTGACGGATGTAATTCCACAATGGTCGTTCATTGCCTAGTAGGTCCGCAAGTCTATCGCAGAACTCCGACTCGCTCAAGGTTTGACCTGAATATAAACACTTACACAATGGAAGAGAGAATGATATAGACACCTAATGTACGTTCCTGCACAATTTGCCGCTAAACATTTTTGTACAATATTCTATTACAATAAACTAAAACAAAACAGGTGAGAAAAGACAACATCTGAAGTTTATTTAATATCAACACCAAATTTGGAATGAAAAAGAAATCTTACAGAGTATATAATGCTGCAGAACTAGGGGACAACGCTTGGCTTTGAACGCGGACTAAGTCAGCATTTGTCAATTTCTTCATTACACTTTGTCATAACTAATCAGCAAGGCTTAACGTGTGGGTGATGACCCGGGTAGGCGGGAATCTACTAGACCTTTTGAATCCCACTTCATTCGACCTGTTGGATATTTTAGCGTGACAACCTACATTTGTGTGCCCATTGATTGAAGCGTGACAACTTAATAGTAACCTAGTAGTCCTCAAGAAACTGAACTTCTTCAGCTCACATTCAGAACCAATTCTATAATCATTGGTTGTGAAAGCAAACAAGCAATATCATTTTCACGAAGGGTTTTCGTGTTTCCAGATGGCTTCGATGACAACCATCCTTCGAACGGATAAATGGTTGCTTGTCTGCTTAGCCCTGATCAACGTGGACTGTGTGAGTGCATGTTAATTCCTTAGTCCCTACAGTACGCTGCAAACTGCGCCATTTCAGTTTCTTTAGTTTTCAACTCATAAGACTGCATACTGTCAATGTGGAAAATATTACAAAATTCACATGTTTCCTTCATGCCTAACTAAGCATCCCATTAAGCAGCGAGGAAAGGTGTAGAAGACAAGCAGATTAATCGAGTAAGGCAAGTTAGCCTAGATCCTTGTTTTCAGTTGCTTTTTTTTTAAATTCCACCAAAAAGGCGTTGCCACCAAGGATGAATTACTAAAAAAGAAACAGAGCATTCCCCTACTCATTTTGACTTGATGTTCTTGTTAACGATATGTGGGCAAAACTCCAGCCTCGGACAGGACTCGAACCTGTACTTCTGCTTTCCGCCCACCCTTCATCCCTTACTCTAGTGAGATCATGCCATCGTCTTCTCAATAGCTCATATGCCATTGCTTATCACCACTCACATGTACAACGTGCTGAGCCGGTCAGCTAATATCATAAGCATTGAACCGACTCCGACCGACGAACTTTCCCTAATGTTACAATTACAATATTTCCCCTACGACGGGAGCCGAAAAGATCCTAGCTAATATTAGACATTCATTTTTGTCATCGATGTTCAAAATCTATGAGTGGAACAATGGAAGGAAAGGTACCCACCCATGCTGCCGATTGTTTTAAGGAGACTTCGAGTGTTCGAGCTACGGGAACGAGTGCCATGACAGTAAGCCTATAAAAGTAAAAGTTGTTCAATCGTGCAAGAAAAATGATCTACAGCATAAATAGAGCGAAAAGATGCTATATTGCTTCAATAATTATACCGTTCTGACAGCAGTACAGATTTAAATAGTTGGAAAACAATGGTACTAATTTTCTACTTCCAATTCTATAGAGAATAACTGCAGCAGTTCATCTCCACGGATTTCTAATAAGCACGATGGACTGTTGAGTTGTTTAGAGTGCTAAGGCCAAAACAGCCATGAAGAAGAACCGGGTGGCTGCTTTTAAAGAAGGCAAGCAACCAATTCAAGCAGCTGTTTTGTTGATTTGCTGAGAAAATTGGGTGTACTACATGATAGTACAGCAAACCAGTCTTGCCTTTGTGAGTGTGATGGACTGCTCTACATGAAATATCTGCAAACTCCTAGCAAAAAGTATTTCTACAACAAACCTGAACACTACCACAACCGACCTTTCTATAAGGCTCAATAATTGACCTGACTTTTCAATAAATCTAAATGAGATAAATGTGATCGGACTCACCTCAATGGCAAGTAACATCTGGATAGCGCCGTGATATGCTCGGCGGAGAGAACTAGTGAGTAATTCTGGGGGCAACACAGCCTCATCAGCCAATAGAGACAATAAGACCAATACATCCGCGTGGTCTGGGAGGAGAACAGTCGTAAGCCGATCGAACTGCTGAAATCCGTCAATTACGAACCTAGCCGCAATCTCTGTACTGAAACATTCTCATAACAAATTCTTTGTTTCCCTTTACCTCTCACATTACATTACAAGTAGCTATCAAGTTTGTGGCTTTCATTTCTTCTCCGATTCAGAATTTTTGTTCTGTACCACGTAGTTCTATCACTATTTTTTTGTGTCTTCGATCACTTTCCATAAACTTTTATCTTTACTTATTCATTATTCTGTTAAATGCAAACAAAATTTCTTTCTCAGCAATTACGCGAATGATCGAGCAATTTCAAGAAAAAAACCCTATGCAGAAGAAGCTATAATGCTTACCGCCTCAAGGTTCTCTGAGCCCAGAACTATTCGTTCAACAGTACGCCATATGTCTTGGTGCATGAACGTCCGATGTTTGACGTCCAATGCAATCTTTCTAGCAAGATTATTCATTTGCCGAAACCGATGATGGGGACTTTGCATACACTCCAAGCCCATCCTCTCCTGAAGAAACGGGCTCAGTTCTCCAGAAAACACTCTCCATCGTTTGAGAAGCTTTTCACCTTCTGACCATTGCTGAATCATTACCTACCTCGATAAAGGAAGAAATCCGAGCAATTACTGAATTTCTTTTTTGTTCGATGTATCTAACGATCAGGTATTGACGAAAATGCCTACCATTGTCAGATTCCGTACTTCTTAACGATAGAGCTTAACACTTGAACGATTTTTCTTACCACCAATCATGACTCTACTCAAGAGAAAGGCTCTTCTAATTTTGGTTATCTAGAACCAACATATCCTCACTATCTTAACATTATCAGTATTCACCTTCTCAGTGCGAGTTCTACGTTTCATCCTCGTCTTTCCAGCAGCGTCCATCTCATCCGTGGTCTACAATGATACATGATCTGATCAAATTATGGAAGAACGAACAGAATTGTATACCTCAGCAGTGTACATTTCCGACCCAAGAGCGTCTTCAGAGTAATCGTTTGCTATGGATCCGACGCCGAATGCTGAAGATGCCCTCATATTCACATAATCGTAGACAAAAGGACCAGGATCGTTACTCGTACAATCCCAAGCTTCTTTCCAGCACTCTGCCTGCGACGCCATACCAGTCAGATCAGTCTTTCGGATCGCATCAGTTGGAACTCGTTTGATCTTCAAGGATGAGGACTTTGATAAGCAGCGATAATAATAGACAAAAGCAAACAACAAGTAACGACAAAATAGTTTGTCGCAGCTCTGGCGAGTAGAAAGCAACAACTGCGCCTTAACGAAGCCTACAACCATCCACCTAGAGATTATGAGCATTACCACCGTTGCCTCGGAGTAGCCGCTTCTCGCATGTTTGAAGAAAGAGATGTATTGAAAAAATTTGCTGTTGACAAATTTCTGACCGCTACTGAGTATTTGCTGATATTCGACGGACTTTCTCCTTTTCCTGTCGACCCCACCAGTTTTAACTCGCACTTTTACTTTGCACGCACCCAGATTGTGGAGTGAAGTCTTCAATTACCGAATATGCCCGAAAACGATGGAAGAAAAAAATCACCTCGACTTTTGCAAACAGAGCTCTGCTAACTGCCGAGGGAGCTCGCAAAAGTGTTGGACTTCTTGTTCGGGCATCGTCGCGTGGCGTAACAGGCACTCCCAACTGAAAAGTTTAGTCAAATAAAGTGACCTCAAAAGTAAGCACTGGTATATTAAGAGAAACTTCTGTGACAAATAGGAAATGTTAGAATAAAGCTAAGAATTCCGAAAGACTGTACATCAGATCCAGGACTCGAGCGACTTAGTTGGTAAGCAGTTCCAAGCGGAGAGTAGTCGGATGGAGTGTTGAACGTAGGTGTCTTCGGTACGAATGGCGACTAAAAGATGAAAGATACTAAATGTAGAAAAAGGGGAAACAAGGAATATAAAGTATCACTTTGTTGGCATAATTACTATCTTTAACCCTTTCTGTATTACAAAAAGTATCGGTTTCTTATCAAGGAGTTGCACTTCGGTTGGGATACTCTGCGAAGTGGTCTGTAAAAAATGTCAGAAACCATCTGCTCATTCGTCAATGTGAACAATAGACCATACTTTTCAGCAGTGCAAGGTTGTTTGCGTGAGAAGAAGTGGAATTGAAGTCAAAGAGAACGAGGTATCAGAATCGTTTGGGCAATACATACATGTCCGCAAGCAGAACAAAACTGATTTAAGCTGACAAGTAGGACATTTGTTGTCACTAATAGCCACCGACTTGCTTGATGATGTCATACTAGCTTCCTCAAAACGTTCTACAAAAAAGTAAACCCACGTTGAATTCCGCTGCAGGTATATCCTGCTGTCGTGGAGTGCAAATACCGTAATCTTCATAATCGAAATCACTGTCTTTCCAAGCACAAGACAAAGACTGAAAATTTCTTAAGATTAGAAACGTCCACATTGCTTGTATTTGAATTCTATTATGATGTTTCTTTGGCGAAGTCGTTTTCTGTTGAATTAAATTTATTCTACAAAATAATGTTACAAGATATTCATAAGTTTTTGACTTTGAACTGAGACTTTGTTGCGCGCATGAAATCTTTTCGAGTAGCACACGGCACGAACTATAATATAAAGATAAAAATGAGAATCTAATGTCTAATGTCTAATGTCTAAAGTCTAATAGGACAATTTGCTTTCAAATAATTTCTTGTTTCATGACCACGTAAATCGTTAGTTCAACATCACGTATTGAATGTTCAAGCACACGCGGAGATACTTGCAGGGGAACTTCCTTGCGATAGTATTGAGCAACTATTTCCCTGTCAATACTTCCTCGAGCGCTTGAACATTCATAAGAAACAACAACGAAATACCCACTTCAACAGGAGAGGCTCCAGCTTCCACAGTTCTGGAGACATCAATCAACAGCCCCTCGTCTTTATCCATGGCTATTGTTGAAGATGGCTCATAACCGTCGACTTCAACTCTTAGTTCTTCCATTACATCACCGTGATCAACGAAGGTGTCGCAAACCTTGTCGGACTTCGAATCAGAGGCCGTCATTGTACACACTTCGGAGGTACTAGACAGTTTCTCGGACGTAGATGAAACAACGTTGGCAGTATCCTTCAAATGACCGCGCCTCTTGTTTGAATCGTCTTCTTCAACTAGAACTCTCTTTCCACCGGACTTTCGGCCAGCTCCTCGTCGACTCGATTTGCATGACTGCTTAGTTTCTACATCATATGGAGCGCGCTTTGAAGACTTGCCTGCTGCAGTGCCAACTATAGAATTCTCCGACTTATGGCTTGTTTTGCGCAGAGTTCTTCGGCGATCAGAACTTGGCGACTGCCGGCGTGCATTTGTTCTGCTTACCGAGGTATTCGTCTCATTTCGGCGATTATACTTTTTTGCAAATTCAATCCTCGTTCTTGTTGACTCTCGTTCCCTAGCGAGCCGCACACCACTGGCAGAACTTGTTCTTCTTGCAGAGCCTTTCCGTTTACGTTTTCGTGAGGGAGACCTTGACCGTGCTCGAGACCTCGCCCGTTTAATATGAGCACCGTGAGGGTGCGAATTTCCGCGTCTACTCGAAGACGATTCGGCATGTGTGCGATCAGTGCTCGTACGACAGCCACGTGATTTGTCCGGGCTGATGATCTCACCCTGAAAATCAAAATGAATATGAGAACGAAATAAAATTGATTAAAAAGGATTCCCATTTTGCTAGATTCTTAACAAAGTCTAACTGACTAAATTTCAAGGTGATGGTCAAGTTGCAGGAAAAGTAAACGCAAAGATGAATTTTTTTATTCGAACCCATGCCGCGAAAATATGGCTATAGACTGTGAGGGGTTTCGAAACTTTGCAAAAAGTTCGAGACGTACTGGGGAAGAGTCTTTTTCGTTTTCTGACCTTGGCCGATTTGTCTCGATGTGTCTTTTCGCAGCAAAATCACGGAGTTTTTCTACTGCACCATCCCTTTCGGTGGATGTTCCACCTTAGAAGCAGAGTACGTCTTAGTCATCACAAGGTTAACCTGACTACTTCAGATAATACCAAGTAGGACACTTAGACAGATAGGAACGAATTCTTCGAATATAGTAAATGATGTTGGTGACTGTGTAGATAGTAAGTAATGATGATGAATTTATATGTAAAACGAATTTAGATCGCTAAGGACGTCTTCGTACAGAGTTGTGAATTTTTGTTCAACTTCCGCCCCCATCACTGCAAGTCCCGTTCACTAAATATTATAGAAAGTAGCTTTTATTCAAACGCCGCCCAAGATGAACAAACGCCCAGCTCAGTTTATACATGCCTAGCACGCATAAGGCCTTGTTCACTCCTCTCATTTTTTTTCTGACTTTCACGCCTTTGTTGAGTAAAGTTATGAACTTATACGGGAATTACCGCCCACTGCTCTTGTCAAGAAACTTTGTCAAGTTTTTTGTCGAAAAACATAATCAGGTATTTGGTCTCAGACACCGCGTTTTCCCTCTGCATTTTACGCGAGCGGTATTCTGCACGCTCACATGTGCTTTGTTGTTCTCGCGCCATACCCAACCCATCCCAAAATTGACCCCACCTCTCCTGGTGCATCCTCAGGTAAAATCGATTTTCGTGGTAAACAAACAAACAAACGGACGGACCCGAGCGCGTTATATATAGAATGATTACAGAGCGTTTAATCAGTAACTTACACGGTTCAGGTTCACTACCTAAATTATAGAGAAACGACTTTCATAAGGAATGCTAGAAGTGCTTCCCACGAAGCGAGCGAGCGATTCGAGCAATTCGAGCGTGCAGTTGCACACGTTCCTGCAAGCTGTGCAACACATCGAAAGTGAGGTGCCAAAAAAATGGCACCTCACTTCCGATGTGTTGCGAAAAGGCAATCCCCACTTCGTAAATCACAGGCTGCTTTCATAGTCCGCGACCCGACACGCGAGCGCGCCGGCAGGGGACTACTCGGCCGGCGGTATTGACCAAGATTCAGTTGTAAACAAGGGGCAAGCGCCGCCTCCGGCCGGCGCGCTGGATTGCGGACTATAGAAGCAGCCACAGAGAATAATCGGGTGGAGCCTGATCATCGCAGAGCTCGGAGTCCTAGAGGGACGATGCGGTCAAATAAGGTGCTCTTTAAAGAGACCACCAGTACATAGGTGGTTATGCTGTCAGTTCTAAATATTGTCTTCCCTCAGTTAACGGGGAAGGGGTTCAGAATGAAGGAGATCCGTTGTACACCTGGGGTAACTTGAAATAAATCGTCTCAATAATGAGTACATGACTGAAGCTACCTTTCAGTACAGCACAACATTGCACTACCTAGTTACCTTCTGCACGCCCTACACATTCCCATTCAAATCGCGCAGCTAAAGCATAACCACTACCATGATCTGAACTGATCTGCGCCCGTACGAACAGTGAAGGGTAGGCTGTACATTTTGGTGGAAAACTCAATCGCAAAAAGTGCTCAACAGCTCCAACCGCTACCAGAGCTTATGACCAATACGAGGGAAAAAAGAAAATTGTCTTCAGAATGACGTCGCTTTATAGAAAATGTATTTTACCTCTTCCAGCTCCATGTCCACAGAAAACTCAGACTTCGGTACTTGGAGCTCTTCCTGTTGCGATGGAGGCAAAACGACGAACTCTTTGCCTGGCTCGTACACGCTGAATTCTGTATCCGATTCAGTGGCAACGACGCGTGGTTTGGAGGCTTGCAATAGTGAAATTGCGCCTGGGGATGCAGTATCATCAGAAACTAAGTCATTCGGATTATTAAGGGGAAGATCGGTCGCCTTCAACGATGAGCCTTCTGGAGAACGACTTTTTGCAGGTGACTTCAGATCAGCTACTGTACGATGTGACATATTTCCTTCGTCTTTCACATTCACTCTTTCTAGTTGATCGCAGCCACTACTCATAAAGATGTTGCTAGCAACAGATAGTCGCTGCTTCGACTCGGCCACTTGAAACTCATAAGGAAAGTAAAAACCAGCGCGTGCCGTTTCCTGCAAGACAACAAATGAACAACATAAAATCAAATAAAGTGCAAGTCTCTCAAATTCTTACCTTGAGATACGAAATCGGGAGAGCGGTAGCACCTGTTTCGATATGGCAGTTTTCGCGAAAGAAGCTGACGTCAACCTGAATGTGAATAATGGTCCAACAAAAGCATATTGCTCGATTCACTAGCATTATCAAACTTCAAGGTTTTGAGCACGACTATGGTCAGAGTACCGTGATGTTAGGGACAACGCTCATATGCGACCTTCCTAATTTGTTCTTAATAAAGGCAGAGCGATCGTCATATGAGCTTCACCCTCCAAAACGTACAGAACATCGAACAAGGAAAGCTCCTTGCAGAGCACGAGTTTTACAAATGAGATGACCACAGTAATCGATGTTGCATTCAAACCAAATCCTCATGTTTTAACCACAATATTGTTTCTAACGTTCAAAATCAAGCATGTGGTCTAAATTCACAACCAAGGGAATATAGAGACGTGTATACTGTATCTTACGTTTAATAGAATCAAAAGGAACGTTTCGTATGACTGATTCAAAACGCTGAGTTCTGAAATGCATAGTTACATAAAGGACCACCTCTATAGTCAAATGTTACAGTAGGGTTCTCACATCACTTTGCTCCCAGGGAAGAAATTAGAATCGTGTAGCGCAATAGCTGAACAGAAATGATAGATGTAGACAGAAACCTTGAGTAAGAGTTAAGAACGAGCGGAATTTTTATCATTGTGGGTAAGGTTCTCACAAAAAAAAGGTCATTGAGACCTAGCTAGTGGAAGTGAGTAAAAAATCGTATGGACGAAGTTTGGATCCTGTGATTTCATTTATATCGGACGAAATCATCCGCGTTCGATGGTGTGCAAAAAACGTGATGATGCAAATTACGTGAAGGCAACTTCGCCGATCAATGGTTAAAATGGTTGCTGACTTGCCATCGACGACATAGAGTGTGATTAGTTAGCTGAGGTACTGGCTAAAGGTCATACGCCTGAGAAGCGCTGGCCGAGAAGCGCAAGTACGGATTCAAGTTCTGGCAAAAGTCGAAATTTTGCCCACCCATGAGTCAGCGACTTCAATTTGTCTATATCCATACATCTATATCTACTTCTATATTATCTAACAAATCTTCATAAACAATAATAATATAATGGAAATAATATTCATAAACAGGTGAAAGGTGTGCAACAGATAGGCAATTCAATCTCTTGTAGTAGCTCTGACCCTTTGACGCTTTGTTTCTATTAAAGTAATCTGGAGAAACTTTAGTTTTTCAGCGTAATATGAGCTATGCATACAAACGAGTTCTTGCATGACAACGTTGTTTCCACTGAATAATCTGGCGGAAATCAATTTTCAGCGTAATAAGAGCTGTCCCATTAGAACGAGCACCTGCATAAAAGAAGATTCTCCCTCAACAGTTACATACCTAAACGCCCCAATTTTCTCACCTCGTAAGAGACACATGATCCTGAGATGCTCGCAGACCCCTTTCGATGATTGGACGTTTTTTCCTCTTGCACGGCAACTTCACAAAATGTTGCAGGTGGAGGGCACAACACAGTACCATCATTTATGTGGGCTGCAGGAATAACCACTGTAGGACCAATGGTTACAAAGTGTTTCAGGAACTTCTGGAAAATAGGACTGATTAACGAAACCAGTGAGTCACTGCAGTCAACTTATCGTCCACTCACATTATACCATATAGGCCTTTCTTCCTCAGGCCACATTTGAAGGGTGTCGAAACGAACAAGCGGTCGTTGGAAGGGAAATCGCAAGTGACAGACACCACGTAACGCTTGCTGAATAAAGAGTAGAAATAAACAACAAACAAGTAGCGATTTTCGAATCTATGAAATGAGTGTATTTGAGAACTGCTTTGCATGATGATTAAAACAATTAATTATACATCTAGCAACTACTATCAAATCTCAGCCTACTTTGTAATACCATTACCATTACTCCATCATGAGAAAATTCAGAAGCCTCTATGAGATGGCTTCGGCCTTCTATGATCACAAGTCCCTTCATAGAAGAGGTCTTGCTTATTCAGTAGCTATGCTGACTGTAGACAAAAGTTCAGTAGCTATTGTGGATTCTAGACAAAAGAGGCCACTAGTAGAATTAATACTCGCAATCTTATCTATGAGATACAGAGTAACCCAGCTGAGAAAGGCCGATTATGCAATGCTTCCATGGAATATTTCATGCAATGCCATCATGAAACATAGGGTTCCACACAGGATCATGAATGATGAATTTAACAAAACTCTGATATAGATTGGGATTCTACGGAACTCCCTCACATTCACGGATTCTGAAGAAAGCGACCCAATGAAAAATCTTCTTTACCATCGCTGAATAAATAGCTATCCCGGTGAAAATGTAGTGGGAGGTCGTCTCTGATAATACAGTGCTAGCATAATATACGTCCTCCCCCTCTCCTCCAAACTAGACTTTGCACGGCTGAGGATTGCCTGCGAAGACCTTGAAGTTCCTCATAAGATCTTTCCACTGTAGTACCAATATCGGCAAAGCCGTAGACAAGTGAAAAAGGAAATGGTAATGGAGATCGGGTAAATATTGTAGAGGACGCGCGCGACGTGACCTAATTTAGCAGCGATTGCTATGCCTAGTGACCCATACCTCTACCGCCCTAGAAGCTCTTCAACACCACCGTCTTTGAACCACAATGTGAAGAAAAACAAATTGCAACCTCACCACAATTATCTGATACAAAGGATTACGATTAGCAACTTCGCCGTCGTAGTGTTGACGAGCGACTCGAAGATGGCTTCGAATTTGTGCTGTCGTCTTACAGGGCAACAACATCTTTTGTACCCAATACAATCTAAAAACACCACCACTTTTCTTCAACTTTTGTTCTCAAAAGATCCCCAGCCTATTGTATCAAATATTGACAGCAAAACCCATAATCGATCTAATAATTAGTTGGTACCGTCCAAAAGGATCCTGAGAATTCGAATGACGAAGGTGGCGAAATTGTACCAAAGCATGAGCCAAGAGTAAATCCTCTCCGGCAGTGAAAAACTGGTGATTGAACTCGAAGAGATCCGGTTGCACACCGGGCAGAAGATCTGGATAAATGACGGCACGACTTCGACCAAGTACAAGCGCAGCTTCTGGTCGAGGAGACCATCCTGAAGCATGGGAGCTTTAGTGAACCAAATTTCATAACAGACACAGGTAAGCAAAATCACACATGAAAACCCATAGAGTATCTCTATTACCAAGAGAGGACTACTGTTTTCTTCAAGTTCAAACTATTTTGAACATGGTCGCAGGCTAGGCTGCATGGGAGAAGAAGGGTGTGAGATGCCTCTGAAGGCATAGGTACCCCAGTGTAAAATCCTTTTGACGGAAAAGAAAGGCAAGTAGAAGGAAAAATTAACCGGTGAGGGGTGGAGCATGGTGGATGTTAATGTTAACAAGCTTCTGAATATTCATCCCTATAATAACGACTTTGAAATAATGACCCACCGAACGGCGTTGGATCCCACCTGACGTGCTCCTCGGACACAGGAGAAACACCCATAATGTCGTGGCATGATTCTATAGCAGCAGCGAGATTACCGACATTGAAGAATGATGAAGAACCTCCGGCATAGTAGCGAGAGTCAAGCTCGTTCTCAAAAGATAATCATATTCAGTAGAAATCGAAAGAAAATCACATCCAATATAAAACAACTTTCAGGGTTCAGCACAACTTTCGTTTATCTCACCCTAATCGGAGCTCCCTGAATTTCAACGACTGACACTGCAGTTAAACCATAGAGTTGAAAAGAATGATAATATTTTTCATGAGAAATTCGTCTTTGCATAAATTAAACAATATTGGGAAGAAAACTCCACCAGAAGCACATGAGACTTCCAAAAGAGTTCGCTTTCTACTAGTATCGGAATTAAGATTGATTTCAAGATGTCCTCAACATTATGGGGGTTACTATCTGGCCGTTTGTTCGCAGTACTGGCCCAAGTGGCTTATTTTCAGCAAGCCCAGCAAGACAATGACCCGACACATTGAAGATGCTCATCGACTGCTTTCCTTGCTGCCGTGGAAGTCGCAATCCCCTCATCTGAATCCCTCTTAGAAAATATGTGGGATAAACTCGAGCGTCAGGTGGAAAGCCTTAGGGCTTGTGATGAGCACGAGGAGGGCATCCCTCGCGAGGAGATCGAAAAACTCATCGAGTCCATGCCACACAGGCTCAAGTGGCCACTGAGGCCAAAGGCTATGCGCCAAAGTTATATTGTCATATTTTCTCTTATACAAGTTGTTTCGTTGAGATTTTGAAAATTAAGACAGGATGAACTCATAATGATGGTGTTAGAATGTTCGAAAAATTTCGTGAAAATTTTGCCTCACAACTGTGAAAGCATGTTGCCCGCAAATGCGCTGAAGATGGACTACAGATTCGATAGCAGGGAAAGGAGCATTTTTGAAGGTCAGTACTATTATTAACTGATCGGTACTCGACGTGGTCTTTCGAAGTAAGTGATCGTCGACCGAACGATGTGCCATCGATACGACTACCGTAGCCTTCTGCTTCTCCATTAGGAAACTAATCGCTTCGACACTCAGGCTTGGAATGAGATACGGTGACTGGTTAGCAGTAGTGACCCTCCCTTGACACCTACCATAAATAGCACGATCGCTCCCTCATAGAGGAGATTTGTTTCGTTGAAATTTGTCGAAGCGAAGCAACGACCTGAAATACCGACACTGCTCTGGCCTCCGGTCAGAGCGATCTTCCTCAAGATCTCAGTATATGAAACATACGATGTCTACTCCCTACTCCATCATTCATGACGTTCTAGGCGAATGTTGCATTCCAAGCAGGACTCCTTGTAAATGTCGCCCATCCCTTGGCCGAGCAGCAGCTCGAGTGCAGAAAAGTGTGTACCAGAAGCTCCCCGACTGTAAGAAAACGACAACATCAACCGATTCGTTATTGCTCAGCTTATAAAGTAGATGTCATATGAAAAACAACACAGGAAATCGCAATGCCTACCAACGAACCACAGCCCGCTACGAAGCGAGGAAAAACATGGGCTAATTCTTCCTCTGCTCAGCCGTTTATTTTACTGGGAGATCCTACCAGAGTGCACAGCGATGAACGCAGAAGTATTCTATTACCGGATGAGAGAGATGGCGTTTCGAGCTGCCATTTCACAACAATTATAGGGAAATTTTCGACTGTGACGGATAATGTTCGATCACACCACCACAGCTCTGAAGGAAAAAAATTAACCAACTGTCGAGAAGTCAAGTAGGTGATAAATGATTGAAGTCACGCCTCTCTTCATATTGGAGGAATGGCATCAATGCCCTGTTAGGTTGATGGAGAGACACTGTGGCTAAGAAAGGTCACTATCTCGGTCACTAATCTAATTTGTTGCTGTAGTTATTTCGTGTTGAAAAAACCGGCTGAATTTCCTCAAAACTTTTCGAACACCCTAATATAATGGTGTAATAGTATAATGGAATGATGGTGCTTGACCTTTTTTTTGTGAAGTCTTTGAAAATGTTTCACAATTCACCTAGACGACTGAAATGCTGCACTCTGATCACATTCAGAGATAGCCTCTTGCAGTAAAAAAATTGAAAGAAAAGTTCAGGTTTGAGGTAACTACATTTGGAAAAGTGAAAACGCATGCTTTTCTGAACCGTTCTTATATACCTGTGGACCTAGTGTGCTAACTAAAATTTCGATTACCTAGATCTCCGATGGTCTCAAAAATGGGAAAATTTAGCGACTTCAAAAAAATAGGAAATTCTGGTCATACACGTAACGTACGAAGCGTACTGAACAAACAATAAGCGTTTGCGGTTCTTCGATGGCATTTAGATGGAATCGGGAGCTACAATACCCACCCTAAATGTTCAAAAAAAAAACAAAACGGAAACGAAAACGGAAAACAAAGCGAAAACGCGTTTTTTTTCGTGTTTTTTTGAACATTTAGGGTGGGTATTGTACGATCAGGAATTGCCCAACTTTCGCGCTAGACGATGTTAAGAGGGTGGCGTGAAAGAATTTCAGTATGATCAAATCATGTAATGGACTGTAATGGACTTAACAACAAAAACTCCCTTTCGCTCACTTCTGATGATATACCGCAGTTCTTCTTTAAAACTTTTTACCACCAACTGGCCGGTCCTCTAACGCATATTTCCAACATTTCTTTGTTGCTGGGGGAAGTTCCTGCAAAATGGAAGCTAGCGTATGTCACACCTATACCCAAGGTGAGCGGTGCCAAGAAGGTCTCTGAGTTCCGCCCTATAAGTATTCTCCCGACTCCGATCAAAGTTCTGGAGAAATTTATCAAAGAGCAACTGTTATCATGGCTCATCGCTAGGAATCTCGTACCCCTTGAGCAACATGGGTTTGTCCCAGGAGCATCTACTTGCACTCAATTGATTGATTGCACTTATGACTGGATCTCCGCTCTAAATTCCAAGCATAATGTTGACGTTACTTATTATGACCTCACAAAAGCCTTTGATACTGTATGCCATTCCAGTCTGTTGAGGAAACTTGATAGCGTTGGAGTTAGAGGAAGACTGTTAGACTGGTTCAGATCCTATCTTTGCGATCGAAAAATGGTTATACGTATAACAGATTCCATTTCACAGTCCAGGAATTGCCCATCCGGGGTCCCGCAAGGCGGGACACTGTCTCCTATTCTGTTCCTCGTTTATACAAGTGACCTCCTCTCTCGCCTGAGAACTCATCCTAGTATCAAAGTGGCGGCGTATGCGGATGACGTCAAAGTCTATGCCGTATACACCGCACAAGATAGGGAGGCTGTTCAAAATGCCTTGAACGCCTCTGTTAGGAGGATGATGGAATGGACTAGACAATGGAATTTGAGCGTTAATTTTTCCAAGAGTCACTTATTTTCGCTCACAGGAAACTCGCTTTGCGTTAATTGCGATCAGTTCGGGCTTCTGACTTCGTGTGATCTAGTGAAGGACCTAGGTGTATTTTTCTGTAAAGGCCTTAAATGGAAATGCCAAATTGATAATATTGTAAGCAAAGCTATGCGAGTTCTTCACTGCCTCTTTAGGAGCATTCACTGTTCGGACTTGTTTGTTTGGATTAGATTGTTTAAGACGTTTGTACTGCCTTTGATCGAGTACTGTGGCCCCGTCTGGAGCCCTTTTCTAAAGAGAGATATTAATAAGATTGAAAGTATTCAGAAGACGTTCACAAGAATCCTTTACTATCGCATTTTCCCCGATTCTAATTACCCGCGCAGTTTGCCGGCTTATAAAATTCGCTTGGAAGAACTAAATCTGAAATCGCTCTTTTACAGGAGAGTGCAAGCTGACTTGGTTCTTGCTTTCAAAATAATCTAAGGGGAATTGCGTTTACGTCCATCCAAGTGCTGGATTTTTCGTCCTTCCAATGGGAGGCGTGGGGGCTTACTCAACTTCTCCCCTAAGTTGTCGTGCTGTAAGCATGTTATCAGTGAACACAGCTTTTTTTACAGGACAAATAAGTGGTTAAGCAAGCTGCCTAGCGCAATGCTGGCTTGTAAGAATTCCGCTCAGTTCAAAGCAGCACTCAGGAAGATGAATATTCTTCAGGAGATTGGCGTTGAGGACATTTGTTGACGCATCTATAAATGAGCAGATGGCTTGAGACTTTTAGACTTTAGTATTATTATAGTTTTTGTAGTTTGTTCTTTTATGTTTGATCCTAACTTTCTTAATGCCTTTTATTGTTTTGTTGCTTTTTGTTTTTCTTCAGTGGCTCTACCCCCTCCATGCTCAGGTTCCTGCCCCTCCATGCTGCGCAAGGCTTGGGATTCCGCTCTCACCTGGCTTGCCGGTTCCACGAGGGCTGTCGGTATACTCGTGTCTCGAAGTGCCGGCAAGCTCCCATGACCCCTAATGTGGCGCTAAGGGCACCATTGCCGACTGGTGCGGGTGTCTGCCGCGAATTTCACTTGTGATAGCTGGAGGCTTTTTTCTCTCTTGCATCTCTCTCTGAATCTAGATCATAACTTCTCATAATTCCTGACTTCTTTCTATTTGGTGTTTGGCCTATATGGATTTCATCCTCTTGTCCATTCGTTGACTCAGATTTTGCCGTTTACTTGGTGCTTATGCGTCCTGATATGTGATAGTGATAGCGCGTCATTATGGCGCAGAAATAAATAAATAAATAAATAAACAAATAATGTGCTGCATTTCTATGAAAAGTTATTCGAGGAGAGTAGGGATTGTGCCAAAAGGAGACAGTCTCAACTCGTTTATAGGCGAAGCAAAGCCGGGCTGAACAGATAGCATCAGCCTTGCCAGCCATCAATATATCAATTTTGGTAACTATTTTCAAACAAAATATCAAAAGTGTATAATGAATAATGAAAATGAGCAATATAGGCAATACGTTTTGATTTCGTAGAAGAAGCTTTAGATCATTATTAACGTTAACGTTATCACAGAACTCTGGTTTCCGAAATCCAGCGACTTCTGACCGTCCTGCTATATCTAAACTTGTCCGAAGAAATTTCACCTTTTCAGGGTCAGTCTCAGAAGCCAGATCAGAACGCTGTCTGAAGATCTTCGCTTCATTTCCCACTACTGTAAAATTCGCATCACAAATTGCGAATATAACCAGCAAATATAAAGTTCTTGCCATCGGCTGTGTGCACTGCCCGAAGGTCAAGCTCAACAGTGTGGCATTTATGCGAGCCAGGGCAATGCGAACATAGTAACAGAAAACAAGAGCGGGACAGAGAATGACTGGATGCCTTGACGTCAATTGGAGCCTTTCACCTGACTACGGTCTTTTCCTTATTTCCAACCCACTTGTGGGAAGAACTGTACAGTATAAGATGAAGTTATTATGATTGAAGCCATCGAGAAAGACTCACTATCATCAGCTGGTATGTATTTGTCATGTGCGTCATCCGACTGTCGTGGTAGCACATTACCACGGACTGCGTGAGCAATTGCACATGCTATAATGAGATCTAGGTCAAATTACACGACTTCTATGTTAATCACAATGCCAAAAGAAATATTTTGTGCAGCAGCTTCCGTTTCATCATCAGAGTATTACCGCTTTCCCTGATATGAACTGAAATGAGAGCCTTCCTTCAGCTCTCACTAACGCTCATCGTACTTATTGGAGACATCGGTTTAAATAGAAAATGTGTGTCCCTTTTATCTTCAACGTTCGGCAACAACAGAAACACATTAAAGGCACGGTTTGCGATAAAAGTGGTTCCTGAGTTCTCAATTCAGTAATACCCAGTGGCCCCAAGAGTAACAGGAATGACCCCAAAAATCAAGTCAGGGCTCGAAGCGATAAAGACTGCAAACTTTTGACTTGCTCCACAGTGCTCTCCATAAAATCTGTTCAATATAAGATTGCATTCAGGATCAACTGTATCGAAATAGAGTGTTTCCTAAGAATTTTTGCAAACTTTGAAAAGTCCCGAGGTAGCCGCTTTTTTATTACCAACACAAATGCTAAGGTTTTTTCCTTGTACTAGAAGAATACATTGAAGGAACAACTTTGTAACAACTCATGTTAGACAGACCTAAGTGTATGAAATAAATAAATATATTTAATCTGATGACTGCAGATTTCTAAGACGGTGCTTACGTACCTGCTCCATTTGAATTCGTAACTGCTCCATTTCCTCCACTTTGAAAGCAATTGGTTCGCCTCAAATAAAAAATTGTTCACCTTCCTACAAGATGAAGATAGTTTGTTATGATAATTGGGGTAAAAGAGTTTTTGGGATGGGGTTTGAAAATTATGAGCTTCATGGGTGCTGAAGTGGAAAAATAATAACAGTGAAGGCAGAACAAAGTTCATTTTTCTCCTAACGATTTCGGACTGCATGAGGGTGACAGCACTCAATCTAAATTTACTGTGAAGATTATCCCATGCTAAAGTGTGTTAAAACCACACTCGCAAAATGGTATAACTAATAGCATTATACTGCATATTTCAACAACCAGTGAGATTGCCTGGCTAACGCTGGGAATTCCTCCTCCTCATGTAAAAGACGACCCGTCGCCTGTATTCTAACTAGTCCCAAACTTTGATCCAAGAGCTTACGGGCTAGAGATTCTCAGGGAAACACACACACAATTTGTGCGGCCTGCCCGCCATGAGCAAAGTCGCGCTTAAGTCCGAATGTTTAACTAATAATAATACCTTCTCATTCCAACTTGACTGTGTGTTTTCACTCAAATCACGCTTATTTTATGCATGGTTCTCCCCTAAATACTCCCTGTGGGCGGGGTCTTTGATCACCAATTCGAAATTAAGAATTTTCGCGAATGCCCGCTTCATGTGGGCAGGCTCGAGTCGTGCAACCTTCAATAAGGGCTCTCATCTTGCCACCTGCGCCCCTACAGGCTGTCTAGGGAAGCTATATAGGAGATATGAATTTACTTACGCCAAAACTCAAATTTTCGCGCAAGCCCCGAGCATCTAATAGACGGAGTCTACACATACCATCTGTCATTAGAAATTCCCAGTCGCCCATTGTATCCCTTCCAGAAATCTCCACGAACAAATTGACAATTTCATGGACCCTCGCTCACTGGGGAAGTCAAGTCCTGCTTAATAGCATCAGTATTTCTATGCTGTCCTATACTGCCGTCAGCCTGTAGTCCTTGAAAAATTCGAAAAACCTTCGCCTTAGAAAACAACCTTGTGGTGTTCCCCTCAAGCACAAACTTGTGCCCAAGCTGCGCCTCCAATGGGCTACACTTTGAGGACTCCACCCATTGCGGATGAGTCTTCTCCGTCTGATTTGTTGACTTATTCCCAATCTTTGTTCATTTTTCGCAGCGTGCAAGCTTTTTTGAGGTCCAGTAACTATTGCTGCCTAGGACACCGCCATCCCGCTGCACACCCCACCCCTGTATATGGGGCATAAATGCTCTGATGATCTTGCAATGAGGCCGAGCCATCCCAAAGTTGACCCAACCAATTCCTCGCGCCGGACAAACAGACACACAATCAGACAGACAGACAAACGAACAAACAAACAAACAAACAAACAAACAAACAAACAAACAAAGAGGCAGGCATACACCAAACTTGTGGTTTATATTGTAGTAAGAACTCCCTTGAAAGTCTAATCTATAGTATGTCTACAACACTGACCATACATGTTATATTAGAGTTTTGGGTACGTAGCAGTCTACAGTATAATATGAGTAGCTTCTCTGTATGGACAACCTTCACAACAAAGCTTGACCTCTTCACTCCCTAAAGGCCAGGCTTGCCCCCATTTACTAAAGGTTAGACCATTCATAGAGGACGAAGAGCCTTAACTCTGAAGGCGGCCTCCAATCGCCTTCCGAGTACCTCCCAGGCACTCGAATGCAAACTTTTGATTGAGTCGATGTGCAGCAAGATGACACTGCTACAAGACAGGCAGTTCACTTACCCAGGTCAAACACACTCAACGATTTCTTAATATTCCTAAATAAATTTTCTATTTTGAGCCCGTTTTCGGACTTGTGTTCTTTGCTTGTGGTGAGATTCGTAAAGGAAATGTCAATTAGTCGCTAAACTGTAATACGCCGAGAACTGATACTTAATGCCACATTTCCTGTAAACACAAAACTCCTGCACAGTACCGATTGTATAATAATTCCTGTAATTCATGATCGTACGTTCTAGAATCGAGCCTTCACCGCATACTGCTTTTTCTTTGTCAAGGTTTCTCCTTACAAAGCTTGATGCATTGAGTTCAGTAGTGACATGGAGAAACTTAGTTTGGGACCGATTCATAACAAAAAACGTGAAATCGTCCTTTCCGCAGTTATTAATATCCCCTAAGACCGGTTTCTTGAGTAGAGCTTATGAGAAAGGAGGCGCCTTCACTCCTTCGAATCGCCTTCAATTCGAAAAAATTGAGGGGCGAATTTTCAAACGTATCGCCCATTCTAAAGATTTCTCGTAGGTTGGTAGTTTACACAGATGTTTTCAGCTTTGAGAAATCCCATGGACGGCTGCACTATTATTCATGAAGGACAACGAAAACGACAGCGAAAAACTCACCATTTATCAAGCTACAAGAATAGGATCCATCTGGAGGTGGCTCATCCACTGGAAGTACTTCCTGAAAACAACTTAGTCATGCTGGTGATCTTACCAGCACTGGTTCGAGGAAACTTGACAGAACCCTAATTTTAACATTGTAGGCAGAACCTTCAGGACAAGAAGAGCAGAGCACACGCGGATAGGGGCTGTACAACGGGAGGAACTTCCCGGTCCACCCTCAGAACAGCCTAGTTACTGAGAAAATGGGCAAAGGCGGAAAGCGCTTAAGTTTTTAGTGTGAAAGAACTGAACTTACAGTTAGCGGAGCCTAACCTGGAATGGACGAGATATTCTCTCGATTCCAGAGTACTTGTTACCGAAATTGATTACACACTATCCATTCAAATCGTTAGAAGCGGACAACGTGGATGTGGATGAAGACTGGCAAGGAAATAGAAGACAATCATTTATTGTGAGTGGAGCACGGGCCGAATCAGACGAAGCCATGATCAGAAAATTTCAGCTCTCTCTAAAGATTCCATAACCGGGAAATTCAATTTACAAATAATACTAGAAGGTAGAGGAGTGTTTAATAACCATGGCAGGCAGAGTGTGCGTAGTGGTGACGGAGCTGAAACCGAAAAAAAAAATGCAAAATTTTGGTAGAAATCGTTATAGAAGGATCTAGCGAGAGAGGATATGAAGAAGCAAAGGAGAGGAATCAGGTTCATAGTAAACGAAGAGTGCTTCTCCTGAATTGATGGAACTTTGAGTGAAAATTCGCGTTACTCACGCAACGCCCTAAATGAACACTCATTCAGTACGCCTCATCCCCACAGTGGACGAGATCGTAACAAAAAGGGTGATGCTAAAAAATTGAAAACATGCTGCTAGTGAGTATGCGGGACAGTTGGCTGTAGATGTGGCTATTGAAGAACTAGGGAAGTAGTGTCCATATATTATAGTTATTCGGAGATGTTATGTTATCAAAGATCAAAAAAGGACATCGAGATTAGCTATCTACTAGAAAAGTGATGTAAAGCGTAATGACCACATAATGATCAATTTGATGGAACTTTTAGAGGACCTCGACTCGGCTATATCGACTGACTTTAATTGAAACTAATACTTTTCGATGGAGTGAAGGTAATCATTGACAGACCATCATCGAAATTACTACTAACTTGTAGTCAACCGTTGGCTTGAGATAGACCGAATGTGAAGTATCGAATGTGATTTGATTTCTCTTCAAATTATCTGAGAAACTTGGAATGGAAGGCCAGCCAGGAAATCCGAAAGGCCTTTCACAGCCGCCATTCTGACACTCTTGGTTCTCCACAATTTCTTCTGTGTAAATGGACAAAGGCAAGTTTCATCATTTCGTGATTGATAATGCTAAGGGTGTAATTTGTCGTTTCGACAAATGGTTGACTCCAAGGCATATATAGCCCGAAGCACAGTAGAAGACAGGTGACCTTCTACGAACCCTTCCTGTTAAAACATATGAGCCTCATCTTGTGAAGTACGTGGGAATAACAGTGCTCCGCTTATGTGAGGCAAGAATTAATAACTGTAATTCATGCCTCTTAAAGACGTCAAAAGTATGCAACTACAAAAAAAAAATAATAAATTTTGGATAAACTCCCACTGTTACCAAATTACTCTAGACCACATGCAAATAAAAATTAAATCCTTTTTACATTCTTTGATTGCTTCGAGTCGGCTCTGTCCGCAGAACGATGTTTTTGTGAACGTTTCTTCTTCGGAGATGTATCCTTCAACGGCATGAGTTCAGGACGAATCGCCTCCACTTTGTCGCCAATGAGATCCAGAAGAAGGCCCTCGACCTCGCGCACTGAAGGTGGCATATGTATATTTGGTCGTGAAATGAACAAAATCTTTCAAATTACCCTGGCAACAACAAAGACTACTGTGTTTGAGGAACAAAAACTGTGTTGTCAAACCATCAGCATGATGATAATGACCTTTCAACGCTAAACTGACCTAACCTTTATTAAATCAATCTATAATCTGGAAATAAATTTTTGAGAATGTGTGCTACCTGTCTTTCTGATTATCAATGTAGGTATGTCTGTGGATTTATATGCCTGTACGCCTGTTTGTCCATGTGCCTCTGAGTCAAGTATCTTGTTGTCTGTATAGGTTTGCGTGTGTTTAGTGTGTATGTGTTTGTTTGGAAGCTCATCATGTTTATCGAGACTCTGCTATTTCAGAAAAGGACAGATTACGGTAAATTAACATTGTTGCGAATGGCAGGAATTGATAGAACAGCACAAGAACGCCATAAATTAAGCCTTTAGTATTCATGGTGAAGGCTTAATACTACGACTTGCGATGATTAGATCGCAGAAAACGAATGAGAGAAAAGGACAAGGAATGATTAAGGACCTAGAAAGGTAAAAGTCTCAGAAAATAAAAAAAATAGAAAGTAGGAGACACTGCTCCTCAAGCTAATAATCTAAGCAATTTTCGAAATAACTGTATTAGTACAACTCTACACGAGGTTTACAATACCTCAAGGGCTAATTCGGTGAAACCACCTTCGTCGGAGCCTGAAAGGATGGAATCAAATTTCTGAAATTATCCGATCAATTATCTCCACCCCCACAATATCTTCGAGAAGAACTTGATCATCACAATCCTAGGTGGATAAAAAGCACCGTACCTCCCTGAACAGAACCGGCCCTTAACAGAAGAGGGAGATTGATCGGGTGATTTCATAAATTTGAATCCATCCTTCCAAGCTCCGACGAAGGTGGTTTCACCGAACGTTAGCCATCAAGGTATTGTAAGCCGTGTGGAGTGTAGCGAGTTCCATCGCTGCCGATGCCGCAAGTCACGCCGTTGGCTAGGACGTTACACAGGACCTCCACCCAGGTCCTGTGAACTGTATGCGAGGACTACCAAGGAGAGTTGGTTCAAATTGGGACTCTGAACGTAGGATCGCTTACTAGTAAGTCCAGAGTGCTCACCGATTATTAAAACACAGAAACATCCGAGTCCTATGCCTTCAAGAGATTCGCTGGAAAGGAGCAAAGGCTAGCGAAATCAGAGAGGATGTCAAGCTCCATCACAACGAAACGATACCCAAATGAAATGGTGTGGCCATAGCAGTGGTAGAGTCCCTCAAAGACTTTGTCTCCGCCGTCAACAGAATCAGCAGTCGAATCATGGTCGTAAGGATAGACACGAAAAAGGGGTACTGCACAATAATATCCGTATACGCACCACAATCCCGAGAGCGAAAAAGATGAATTCTATCTAAGCCTCACGAGTCATCAGATCAGTTCGGGGAAGGAACTCTCCACCATGGAGTGAACTGAACGGGCGCTGAAGCAGTGAAAGGAGGGACTGGAAAGAGTACATGAAGGTAGAGGAATTGGGGTCAGAAACGAAGAAGGAGATAGAGCCCCCGACCTGGTCGTAGCCCATGACTTGGCAGTCTGCAACATCTCCTTCATCTTCAAAAAGAAAAACTCAGAAGGTATGCTCTACCAGTATAGGGAAAGAATTAAAACAGACCATCTGCTCGTAAGAAGATCGGCCACAAAAACTGTAAAGAACATCAAGGTAACACCTGACGAAGAATTGGCTCCGCATCACAGGCCTCCTCTAGTAGAAATAGCCTAGAGCTTCCCAGAAAATCAAGGGACAGAACGGAGTAGAGGATCCGATGATCGAAGCTGCACCAAGCCGAGAGAGGAGATCAATATTAAGATACAGGAAAGTAGTCTCAGAGATAAAGAGCAGCAGAGCGATATTATAAAGGCCATTTTACACGTAGAAAACGACGAGAAGAGGAAGTGTTACTTTGGAACAATGAAGTCCAGCGAGTTTTAAGGCAGAAAAAAAGCTTTCTACAAGCACTGGCGGTGAACGCGAGCTCCAGAAGACTTTGCCGTACAGAACTTCCAAGAAGCTCGTCATGGCTGCTGTAGCGAAAGCAAGGAATACGGAAATGGAGCAAGGAATACGCCTTGTTCGAGAAGTTCCATTGAAGGAGGCGATTGGCCCGAGGCTCAAGGAAGCAACGACGAGGAGCTCTAAAGAAAAGGTGGCGGGACGTGATCAAGAAGAAACTCGCTGAAGCCAAAGCAACGGCAGAAGATGCCATAGATAGAAGGAAGTGGAGACGAGCAACAAGAATAGCGGATCCTGCGACGGTGCGGGACAAATGCTAGGGAAGAAGAATAAGAAGGAAGGTGAGGAGAGTGTTTTCAAAAGCATTTCTAATGAGTATCACAGTTCTATTGAATTGTTGAATTTATTGCATTATTAATTTATCAGACAACAAATTCTGAACTCTGGCTATGATTCCGCGGCACAAGTCAACTCTACCAAAAACCTAAAGGAACTTAAAAGGCTTGGACAGATTATCCAACCTAAAATGCCGAGGGACAATTTTTCTAAGGTTCCGTCACTGTAGGCATATACCCTGCATAGTTCTTTGAAGAAACGCACTCACATGGGATCTCTGTGAATTTATCCTTTCGCAACTCGTCCCTATCTCTTTCAAGCTCACTGAGATTTTCCAGCTCCCCTAACACGTTGTACTCTTCATCGTCAGGGTCATCGTCATCGGCTAGTGTATTTCCATTTCCTGAACATAAATTGACAGTTGTAGTGTACCATTCTTATAGATTCGCAGCAATTATAATGTAGATGGATTTGAAATAATAAATGAAAGTTGGAGTTCACGACTTTGTACCATGAATAGGTGTAGATGCTTGTATTCCTTGTAGGAAGTTCAGGTAATCTGGATTTTCCACAAAAGTGAGCATCTAAATAAAGTACAGATTAGGTATTTACAAATTACATGAATTGGATTTGAACCTATGGCTTACTTCATGTTCGTGATAACCGGGGTATGGGTCAAAGTTGTCCTCAGTAAATGTGTCATGCAGCGACCCGTACAAAGAAGAATCATCAACATTGAGGCGAGATCTCAGTTGGTACGGAGAGACATCAGAGTCGGCTACGTCTGTGATCTGCAACAAAGGTGGCTCGTCAGGAACAAAACCATGGGCAATTCTTACTTATCCCTAGGCGACAGATCACTGACTTCCTCATTCTACACTGAGTTATGAATGCTAGGAAGGAATGATAACCTATACCTACTCAAGGTCAAAACCAACAGTTCTCACTTCTTGAATCCAATCCTATCCATTTTTCCCGACATCTACAAAAACCTGTTTTTGATATTACCCAAACACCGACGTCATTCGTCGTTTCTGTGGGTATTTACATCATTGCCGTCGGTAATATTTTCAGTATACAAATCGTTACATTATCATTAATGTTGGGCTGTCTTATTAATTTGTAATGAGTACTTAAAGGAAGCGGTAAAAAACTGATTTTTGATAGCCATCTCCGTTTCTCCCGCGTACGTCAATTGAAGTCAGGTGAAGCCAATAAACGATAAACCATAAATAATAAATGAGATGGACATCGCAAGTCATTTAACAAACTATAGAAACATATAAAAAGCATATTCGGCATGTTTCAAGATGATGAGGTGTATCACATGAAGGGGAGCGATTAACATCAGAAGACTTAAAGGTAGAGTTCTGGAATTAAACGAAATCATGAAGTTCACCTCTCCTACTACTTTTCATCTACTCGTAAACCATTACAAAGGGAGGTACCACAGTGTCGCTGATTCGTTTTCAAGGAAAGGCTTGCTGTGCCACTGCAATATCCAAAGCAAATCCTTGTTGAAACCGAATAGCGACAGCACTGTAGCTTTAAATGTTCAAACGGCATTTCTCCAATTCTACTTGATTATATGCCAGCGCTAGATTTCAGTGTGATATAGCCCCAATTCCATGTCCGTTTCATCGACTCATCGAATGTCCTACAGAAAATGATAACAACACCACGATTTTTTTCTTGAAAAGTACAAGAATCATTTAATGGCGTACTCTCCGTCACTTCTCACGACCCGTTCTCAACAACCAACCAGATTTTTCGAGCTACTTATTCAGCAACGTTGGGCTGGCCGTGAGCGCTCAAAAAAGGGGCACCTTCTCAGTCTTCGATCTCTACAATCAAACGGTGATGTCAAGAAACGCTCTGGCGCTCTTAGAATACCCTAGTTGCTCTCTAGGTTTCTTTTAATGAAGTCTAATCTAATGGTCTATGGTCTAACTGGTTGGCCTAACTTTCACTTCAAATGGCCACTTCGTCTTGGGATCCCCCACTTTAAAAGAAGGAAATGCTTTGTAAGTTGTTGTTGTTGTTTTGCCACAACCGCAAAGTTGGAATTCTGAGTAACATTGCGCACAGTGATCCTTCAAACTCAGAAGCGCGGGTGTCTAAGCTTAAATTCTGGGGCAGTAACAAGCTGAGCCATATATAATAATAGCTAAAAGCAAACGCTAACACCCTTACTTGGTTATAGTCGTAATTGGTACTTTACTCACCAAAATAGGTAGGTTCGGTAGAACATTTTCGGCTGAAAACCTCTATCCTTTCAACCTTTCTGAATAATTTTTTGAGAAAGGAGACGTCACGTCAACAAGCTTGGCCCAAACTTTTTTAGCAAAGAAGCAAATGACTTCAAATATATGCATCAAACCTCATTAAACAAACATACCATTAGTTTGTCATTAACTAACTCCTCTGTCTGATCTGCATCCATGTTCATGTCAAGAGTATCGTCCTTCTCGCATGCTTTTTCAGCATCGATTGTGGTTAAAGTTTCATTTCCATCATCGTCCTCATCACTGTCATCACTCTGAAAATGTCAAAGTTCGACCACAGGTCTTCAAATTCGCTCGCCTTAAGTACCACTAAGTTTGATTTCTGAAGTTGAAATCAAAACTTGTGAAAGACGTTATTAATTGTTATTTCATTCCTCCTGTCATTCTTCCGTAATTCCATGTGACGATGACAAAAAACTAACTTCTGATTTAAGTGGGATTCCACTGAAACTGCGCAGACCTTCTTCCTTAACATTTTTCCTAAATAAAAGGGTAGGCCTACTATGTTCATCCCCACGATATGCAGTTGTTCCCAACAGCGTAAAGTCTCTTATGGTTGAATATGCTACCTGCCTTGTTACATTGAGCCGTCTGAAGTTGTCCCGTGCCAGAAGTACTTACAAAAGCAAAGTGATGATGGATTCACGGAGAAGTGACGCTTAAAATCATGTAGTGCACCTTGTGAAATGGAGAAACCGAATGAAATGTTATGGTCACAATTTTGGCCCACCACAGGAAGCATAGATTTACACCTACATGCGTACCATTTTCAGATGGTAAGAAAAAAGGCATGGTCTTGATTGAATAAAGAGATCAATGCCTATCAAATATTTCGACATTTCGATTTTTCATCGTTTCCTCGGAATAAGCACGCAAAAACACAAGAAATACAATACAAAGTATCGGCGACGACCCTCCAAATATGAAAGTCGAGGATGAGATTCAAAAAAAAATTCTCCGAGGAAATAATGCAAAACTGTTCTTCCCAAGGAGTAAGACCAGCAAAAATAAAGCAAATAAAAGATAGTAGGGTAATCAGAAAATAAAAATTCACCTGCACTTCCTCTGGCCTGTAGTCTTCATCTTCATCCTCATCTTCAAACTGTAGATCGAGAAATGTTCTCGGAGGAGGGACAGGTTTCAATTCCACCTTGAACACGAATATTCCCAAAACTGACTGCTTCTAATAACAACACAAATCAAGCATATGACCCAATAATGCTCACCTTGGCAGGTTCTGAGGAATGCTTAACTTTGGAGCGAGTTACTTTTATAGTAGGAATATCGTCCGTATCTCCTTTTATACCCATTAGCTTTGACAGTACATGAGGATCCTTCATGAGACGCTAGAATTATGATTCTTAAGTCAACGAAATTAAGGAAACCTGCTAACATACAAAAAAAAACTAAGAGAAATAATACCTACGTGAAGGATTGACTTGACGTTTAGGGCATTCAAGTTGTGCATCTTTGCTTTTTCTTCGAGCTGAGTATCAAGCCGTCGGCACAAATCAACAATATCCTCTTCGCCTTCAGCCTCTTCGGCGTGTGGTGAGGTCGGCGCCGATGATTCAGTGCTGGTAGCTTCTCTGATACAAAAAATACGATGGATTCACCAGAAACGGATATCGGAAAGTGCACAGTTACTTGCCCTATTCACTTTACCACTCTTCACACTGCAAATTCCCAAAGAGGACAGTTCAGACTCAAAACTTTCCTCACTTCTCAATTACTGAGCTTAGCTACATCAACATGAGTAGATATATGCCTCAGCAAAAACCTTTCCTTAACATTCTATTGATTTCTGCATCAAACCTCGAGAAGGTTGGATTGAGATTCATTAGACAACAACAATTCATACAAATTCTGTTTTCACAAGGCACATGAGCGATGTTTCAGTCAAAAAGTCTCATGGGTAATCCAAGAAATCACAAAATTTACCTGTTTTCGGCATTCCCGATTGATTCCCCGGATTTTCGCGTTTGATAGGAGCAACCCGGTTCATCCTCTCCCATATCTGCAACTGATGACAATGAAATAAGAAATTAGAATCTTCTTTTAGGTCTACAAAACATTTGAAAAGCCTGCTTTCCCGTAACAGAATAACAAATTGTAAAGACAAGCATTTTTGCACATTTGAGAAAAAAAATGAAGGGCTGATGCCTGCCCTTCAAGCATTTCCTGCGAGAAATTCCTCCAAATGTTGCTAAAATAAACTAAGAACTACTACAAGAAGCTCATTCCAGACTTTCTAAAGGTCCCTCATAAAAGATACTCGAAACTAAACAAAATCAACGCTTATTACTTGTCACTATGAAAAAAAAANAAAAAAAAACAGGAAAAAGGCAAGAGAAAGCAAAATAAGAATAAAAGGGATTTTATAAATGGAACCATAATTTGCTAAGAACCCGTAACGAACAAGTCGAACCAATTCATAAAACTTTCAAGCGATTTGGAAAAATGGACTATTTGAATTTCGCATCTGCCGCGCCGCAGGTCGCGCGGCGCAGTCCTGCGTTATGAGGGGCGCGAGCTGCGCCTCCCCAGGTGGCTTCCTGAGGGCCGGACCTCAGCTGGTGCTTCGGTAAGACATTGAGGATGTACTCGCACAAGCGGGAGCCGCCGCCATCGCGTCAGTTCAGCTTCTACTTTGCCTCCGGTGGTTCAACGGCTCCGGTCTCAGTGAAAGCTGCCCAAATCGAACAATTTGAATTTAGTGCAGAACTGATAAGGCGGTACTTCCGATGAAGTAAGCTACATGAGAAAAAGCTCAGATAGCTTTGCTCAATTTCCAAAGGATGGGAACGAACAGGGAAATTAAGAGGAAGGAGTCAGCAGTAGCCCAACTTTTAATGATAACTCCGGTAATAACGGAGTAAAATACAGTAACTGTAA